GGAGTCTAAGGCATCACATCAAACAATATTTGGCTTCAAGTATCAAGAGTACTTCCTGGAAAGCATGGGTAAGGGGCCCAATGGTATATGGTAAAGGTTATAGGTGCTCTGGTGGTGGGTGTGGCATGGTGAAGTACATCTGAGAAGTTGTGAACCTATTCCTCTGAATCATACACAGTGCAGTAAACCAATGCTATTTAAATAATAGTAATTGTGTATTATTTTTTAAAAGATTTATTTATTTTTATACAAGAATTGGGGTACAGGCTAGAGGCACAGGAGGGTGAGAGGATTCGCCAGAGACAGAGCAGGGAGCAGAACAGGCAGACAGACTGAAATACACTGCTGAGGGGAGCAGCGGGTGGCAGGAGAGGTCTGCGGTGCCATGTGGGTATCTTCCTGGCTGGCCGGGAATTGAACGGGCTGCAGAGGCTGTGGACAGCTTCACAGCGCTGCGCTCAACCTGCTGCGCCACCAGGGAGGCCCTTATTATTATTATTTTAATAGAATATAAAAATGGATTAGAAATGGAATAAAGAATAATAGAGTTAATCACACATACTAGGGCTTGGTATTTTATGAAATTTTTGAGGTAATATACATATGTATATACACATACAATAAATTCTTTGATAGATATTGCTTAATATAGTATGTGTTTTTATTATGAATAATGGTTTAAAAATAGTCAATACACTGTCAAAATGTCAAAAATAAAGGGTTCAAAAAATTTTGTTTATCACTCTTACATTGTAGTGAGTATATCTTTCAGAACAGGGCCTCCCCGGTGGCGCAGTGGTTGAGCGCTGGGTTGCGAAGCTGCCCGCAGCCTTTGCAGTGCCGGTTCGATCCCCGGCTGCTCTCGGCCACCAGAGGAGGGTCCCACATGGCACGCAGACCTCTCCTGCCGCCCGCTGCTCCCCTCAGCAGTGTACTTCGGTCCTTCTGCCTGCTCTGCTCCCCGCTCTGGCTCTGGTGAATTCTCTCACCCTCCCCGCGCTTCTGACTGTACCCAGTGCTTGTATAAATAAATAAATAAATAAATAAATCTTTAAATATATATATATAAAATCTTTCAGAACAGAAGGTCCTTAAAAGACTAGTTCTAACTAGTTCTAGGGCATCTCCTGGTGGTGCAGGCAGTTGAGTGCAGCGCTGTGTAGCTGTCCACAGCCTCTGATGTGCTGGTTCGATCCCTGCCAGCCAGTGAGATACCCACATGGTGCAGCAGACCTCTCCTGTCTCGCCTGCTGCTCCCCTCAGCAGTATATTTCAGTCAGTCTGCCTGTTCTGTTCCCCGCTCTGTCTCTGATGAATCCTCTCACCCTACCACACATCTGGCCTGTACCCCGGTTCTTGTATAAATAAAAATAAATCTTCAAAAAAAAAAAAAAGAATAGTTCTAGAAGCTACAATGGAAGGCATTTGCTTTTTCCCTGACTCTTACTCCTGTCCTGGGTTTTGACTTGCACTGCAGATACTCCATTGTGCCTGAACACCTGACCTATTCTGTATAAATGTTGGGCAAAAACCTTAGAGCATGCTGGGAGGTAATATTACCCAGAGAAGTCATACTACTAAATCAGACAGAATCCAAACATGAATATAGACCCTGAGGAGAGAGATCTGAGAGGACCACTTGCCCCAGAACAAGGTGTGGTTGAGCAGAGATCTTGCTATTGGTCTGGAAAGGTTGTGGGCAGCTGTGGCTAGGTATAGCAGAGGTGAGATTTAAGGAATGAGGGGTTTTCAGGCTATTACTATAGCTGAAAAAGAGAACCAGTCCTACTTCTCTTCTGTTTTCAAGAATACTTCCCAGCCTTGTACGTGTTGAGTAAACCAAGCACTTTTCAGGACCCTCCAGATACCAACTACCAAGTCACTAATGCTGAGCTGTATCATGCATCAGAAGTAATAAAGTTGTCAACAGAGACAAGGAAGAGAAAAATCAAGAAACTCATGGGTCCTCTGTGGCAATGAGTACTTGTCCAGAGAACGTCTATGAAGGTGGCTTTCTTGGTATAGTTCCTTTTGCTGGAGTAAAAATGAAAGAATCCATGATGAAAGCACATGTGCTGAAGAATGGAAACAAAAAGTACCAAGACCACTTCCCTGAGGTGAGGAGAGCTTGTTTAGACATTGAACTCGAAGGATGTTAACTCCACCAAACACTTCTATGCCCTTGACAACAAAATGAACCTCACCTTTCTTGGGAGCTGAGTAATGACAAAGTCATGCCAAAGACTCACCAGGGCAGATGAATCGATTAAGATGTGGTACATTGATAAATACACAGTGGCACGCTCCTCAGCTAGATAGAAAAGTCAGCTTTTTGTTTTTGTTTTGTTCTGTTTTGTTTTGTTTTTTTACTGCAATGTTTATGGTACTTTGTTACGTGGAAGAAATCATAGGTAAACCACTCCATTACATTGGCTTCAGGGATGTTGTTGGGGACTCTACTATACTGGCAAGGGAAACAAAAGCAAGAATAAACAAATGAGACTACATCAAACTGAAAAGCTTCTGCACAGTGCAAAAAAGTATCTGTATGATTTCAGATCTTACCTCCAAAATATCTGTCTGATGGATACTACAACCGTGATTCAAAGTGATATACACACTCATAAGTTAACTGTAGCACTTTTTACAATAGCCAAGTTATGGAAACAACCCAAATGACCCAGGACAGATGAATCAATTAAGATGTAGTACGTTAAAAAAAAAATAAAAGTAGAATTAGAAATCTAATGCCTGAAGAATAGTGAATGATATTTTTCCAGATATTAATTTTTCTCTTCACTCCTCTATTTGACATTTGAACCCTAAAACTGTTACCTCCTGACAAGTAGAAATAGGTTCATGTATTGCTTGACTATGTGGGAGTTGTTCCCTGCCTGTCAAGGATGGGGCAGCAGGAATGAAGTATGTAGAGTATAAGAATATGTGTGTCTTATTCTGCCCTCTTAAGTCCCTGTGATTGAAAATGTGGCCAAGATGGTGTGCATCCTCTACAAGTTCCCCTTATGTCCCTGTGACTTATTGGGTTTTCAGAAAAGTCATGATGTATTTTTTCTATGTTTTTCAAGCAAAAATGTGTCGCGACTTTTCCAACAACCCAGTATTTCTTGTGTTGACTTTTGAAATGAAATCATTCACTAATGTCTTACCCATTGACTAATGTAAATGTGATATAAATCAGGATCCTCAAATACTGTTTAGATTGGGGGGGGAGGGGCGGCTCATTTAAGCACATCCAGGACACATCCTGCCAAAAGTGGTAACAATTTACTTTGCAAATGTGGGGGCCCTCCCTCTGGAATCACTAAAAACCACCTGTCTGCTATGCCATTAGTTCAGGGTTCCTGATTCCTATCATCTTTCCACTGAGAATCTCCTTAATACCAGCAAGTATAGAGATCTGTCCCTTTCCTATGGAATTCACAAAACTCTGATGAAGGGATTCATGAGAACCTACATACTAAACAGCAAAATCTATAGGACTCTTTCATTCATACAAACAGGGAAGCCTAGTCCACTCAACCTGGAGTGATGATAAGTAGGACTCCATTCCCAGCAGATCTAGATAACCTGACAAGGCACTATGTGTAAGTCAGTAATGTCCTTTTGGTTTTCAATGTGTCTGATATCATCGTGATATTTCCTGGTGACTCCTCTGTGGCATAGTGCAATCCAAATTCTATTTCTCAGAAATGCAAAGCAGAACAAGCCATCATGGGTGATGATGTAGTGGGAGGTAGAATGAACAGATTATTGGCTTAGATAGTGGCCCCCTAATCCTGCAGTAAGTCCCAGCTTCCACTCTGAAAGTGGAGGCCCAAGAACTTACTGAAAAAAACTACATGGAGAAAAAGGGGGTGGTGGGTGTAGGGGGAGATGTCATTGCTTTGTCTCCCCTGTTCAGATCATCTCAAGTTCTTATGGTACCGATCTTACACATTTGCCCAGACTTCTAAACTCTCTCCTCAAAACTTCTTGATACTTATAGTAACCTCTGCCACTGATTCTCTAGTTAGAAGTATATATGAAAGTTCTTTATGATATTTCTTCACTTATGTAAGTTTGTTATGTAAGTGTGTTTTCGGAGATAAATATTGACAAGCAGATTTTTAATATACCTGTATTGACTTTTGTGTTAAGTGTGAGGGAGGGTTGCAGCCACATATTGTTTTCAGTATAGATATCAAATGGTTCCACTGGCATTTCTCAGTAACAATGTCCTTTTCTCATTTCTCTGTAGTGGTGTATTATTAATAAATCAGGGGACAGTGTGTGTTTATATCTTTTTGGAGCATGCTAATCAGTTGTTTTGGTCTACTTGTATATGCTTGATATGTGCCACAAATTCTTATTTAATTTTTCAGTAATCTTTAAAAGCATGTCTTGTTTTTCTTTTAAGAGTGTATTTGCTAATCTTTGCCATTGCAAGCAAATACAAATTTTAGTATCAGCTTGTCAAAATACACATGCACATTTACATATACACAAACATTCACATGCAAAACCTTTGTGACTTTAATTTCTGACAAAGAATTATAATCATCATTAGATTAAACTTGGGGATCATTTAACATGTTTATAAAATTGAATCTTCCATCTAATAATATAATATTTCTACATTAATTGAGATCTTCAGTAATTTCTCTAAATAATAACTATAATTTTTCCATACTTTTTTTAGACTTCTTTTAATGTTCTTTTTAAGCATCAGGTGATTGATAGGGTAATTTACAAGTTATTTTTCAATCACTTTCAACATTATACTGTGTTTCTACAGAAAAGGCACATTTTTGTATATTAATTTTATACCAGATAGCTAAATGTTTTTATTGATTTAATAGTTTTCCAGTAGTAGATTTTCCCCAATGGCACAGTTGTGAAAAATGTCACCCGGGACCACCAAGAACCTCCCACTGGGTAACAGTGCCTCGTGCAGAGCCCCACCCCCACTATTTGGCCCCTGGAGACGCCACGTAGTTAGTAACAGATTGTCTCGCTCTCTGGATTCCTATCCGCCATATTGAGGGCGAAGGAGTCTTCTCTCTGAGGTGTAAGGTCTCAAGTTGGCCGAGGGAGGAGTCTCAGGTGCCACTAGGAGTCAGGTAAGGCCCTAAGTGAACAGTGAGGGGATTTTTCACTACACGAAAGTGGCGGTTCCCTACATATGAGCCCCAGCCCCAACTGTGGGAGGTCCAGGTGGGAACGCCCAGTCCGGGTGACCTATCACTCACTTTCTCCTTGTTGATCTGATCAAGGCGAGGTATGGGGAGAGGAGGAGGGTGTCGGGAACTGCCAGTGGTCATGAAATGCCACAGAGGGAGTACTGAGGGAACACCCAAACCGGATCAGTGGCGGACTCTGAGCCCATAGCAACCGGGGGGCAATGGCGGCTGAAAGTGTTGCTAAGGGCTGCGACTGGAGTCTAAAGGGAATGAAGTGTTAGTTGGAAGTAAGGGCTAGCATGTCAGCCAAGAACTGGAGTCCCAGGCCCTGCAGCAGTCCCGATGAGAGTCCCCAGTGAATTCATAGGGTTTCCTCCACCCCGGGACAGAGGTTGTGACACAGAATCTAACCCCTTTAGTCAGTGTTGGAACATCTCCTCACTTCCCTTTTCGGTGCCTTAGAAAGATGGGGCTTAATTGGAAGTTAAGGCTTCAGTTAATAGACTGCAGCATGCAGTTTCCAATTTGAGGTCTTCTTGTGAGTACTGTGAACTCATCAACTATAGACAAGGGGATACCACAAAGTCCCTGTCGTCATCCATGAGAGGACCAGGAAAGAGATGGCAGGCAGAGGGATTTCCCCTTTGAGGGAAACTAAGGAAATCATGGTGTTCAGTGGAATGTGGGGTCATTTTTGAGCAGGCAAACTCAATTTGAAATTAGTTCCAGGCCCCGCCAGGATTTAATTAAAAACCCCAAGACAGCACCATCTGGACCCCACATTCAGGAATGACATTACCTGAATTTCTTCCCTGTGTTCATTTTTTCCCCCTGCTTTTTAAAAAAAATTAACATTGGTTATTGGTTTTTAACACTGGGTAAGTATCAGATGTGCAATATTATTCAACATCTGTATATATTATGGTATGCTCACCACCAAAAGCCTAGTTTCCATCCACCACCATAGAATTGACCCTCTTTACCTCTGCTACCCAACTTCCCCTCTGGTAACCATCATTTTATTCTCTTAATCTTGTGTGGTTTGTTTAACTTCAACATATGAATAAAGTCATGAGGTATTTGCCTTTCTGCATCTGAGTTATTTCACTTACCATAATATCCTTTACGGGCATCCATATTGTCACACATGACAAGAATTTTTTTTTTTTTAAATAGTAGATACCAGATCCTACCATTAGTCAAGGGAGGGACCCTAACTAACTATGGCTGATAGGGACACCCACTGCAAAACTAAATTATCTCAACAGAGCTCTTCTCTACCATCACACTTGGAAAATTCAGAATGTGACACCCCATTAAGTGGTCCTAAGTGGTCACAGGGACATAATTCAGTAATAAAAGGGAGCATCTTTAGCTCAGCAGAGAGGAAGAGTCTCATACACTGTTTTTTCCCCAAGATGTAGTCCTTGGCAGAATTGACCATCCACCCCAGTGTACATGGGACGCCATGATAGCTGCCCTGCTTCTTTAGCCTTAGAGTGGGAGGTGCCAGACAAATATATCCAAACATCTCACCAGCTGACTTCATACACTGGAGCCCTATGGGGGTGGCAGTTTTTAGTCTGTAGGGGACAAGTCCTGATTCACATAGAATTCACAGACTGCAGAATTACATAGGAGACATGAATAAGGACTGTGTAAGCAATATACACAACTGGGGTCATCAAATAGCCTGGACTCATTATCAGCCAGAAAACCTGTGCAAAAATCTGACACAATTATCTATTTTTTTTCCTTCCTGGGCCTTGTAGTCAGGTTAAATCCTGATGTATGTGCCTGTATCACATGAGGTCAACAAAAAGAGAGGTCCAATTTCTGTCCCATACTCATAGAGCCCAACAGTATACACCAACTGTGATCCCTGAGGATTCTAAGCTTGGGTTGACTGACTACCCAAGGAGCATTCAGGCTTCCTTAATTATGTTCTTAGGAGACATAGCAATCAGGTGAGGAGACCTGTGAGGCCCTTACCACAGTTGTCAGGAGATCACTGGAGGCAGCTTTGTCAGAACTGCCATAGTTGACTTAATAGTTGAGGTCACTCATGTCTGACTTCTTTCCCGTAGGCAGTGACTCCCTCGTACCAACCGGCCAGGCCATACTTCTGGCTACGGCTTCCGACTAAAGTCGCCATGCCTCGGCATCATAAGAACCCACGAGGCCCAGAAAATAAGTTACGTATTCATATCAGCACTAGGGCTCGATGCCAGGAGGTTGCACAAATCTCCAAGGCTCTGCAGGAGACATCAATCTCCTCTCATCCGCTAGTGCCTGCCAGTCCAAAGAAAGTTCCTGTAACTGATATGACCAGTATTCTTGAGGAACCTGAGAGTTTCAGTTTCTCTGGCCTTGCCACCCTAGCCACTTCATCTAGCAAGTCAGAGGAGGCCTCCACTAGCCAAGAGAAGGATGATACTCCAAGTACCTCACAGGCTGAGCCAGTCCGCAAGCTCGAGCCCATAGATCTTCTCGAAGAGAAAGTGGCAATGCTGGTGAATTTCATGCTGCTGAAGTATCAAACGAAAGAGTCAATGACCAAGGAAGATATTTTGAAGACGGTCATCGAAAATGATGAAGACCACTTCACTGAGATCCTGCTGAGAGCCTCTGAGCGCATGGAGATGATCTTTGGCCTTGATGTGCAAGAAGTGGATCCCACCAATCACCGCTATGTGCTGCTCATCAAGTTGGGCCTCACCTATGATGGGATGATGTGTGATGAAGAGGGCGTGCCCAAGACCGGCATTCTCATTCTCATCCTAGGAGTCATTTTCATGAAAGGTAACCGGGCTACCGAAAAAGAAGTATGGGAAGTTCTCAATTTGACCGGCATTTATTCAGGAGTGAGGCACTTTGTCTTCGGAGAGCCCAATCGACTCATCACTGAAGATTTTGTGAGAGAAAATTACCTAGTGTACCAACAAGTGGCAAATAGCGATCCTCCACAATTTGAATTCATGTGGGGCCCGAGAGCCCATGCAGAAACCACCAAATTGAAAGTTCTTGAATTCCTAGCCAAGGTTCACGGGACTGACCCAAGTTCTTTCCCATCTCAGTATGAGGAGGCCTTGCAGGATGAGAGAGAGAGAGCACGGCGCAGTATTGCAGCCAGGGTTAAACCTTCTGCCCTGGCTGCTATCAAGTTTAGCAGCTTCCCCCACACCTAAGCAAGTCAAGGATAATTTCTTCATGGATTGTTCTAAGGGACAGTTCGTGTTCATAAAATTTAAGTCTTAGGTGTGCTGAAAGGCACAAAACATATATTCCTATGTATTCCTATTTTGTATGTGTAATTTGAAATTTTATTCTTCCACCCTGGTTCCATGTTATACAAATTCATTAGTCTTAAAATCTTCAGATGTATGGATGAAATTGGTCACACACTACATTTAATGTTATAATGAGTATAATAGTAAGAACTTTGTGGTTTTGTAAAACAAATTGTGAGACATACATCTGGTATTGTCCTGTTGAGCAAGATAGCATGACATTGCCACAGGCATTTATTGGAAATGTGGAAGAACTTTGCTATATTTTGTTGGGACCAATAGAGAAAATACAGGTGGAAATTCCAAGCATGATGAAATCTTTGCTTTCTTCTTTGTTATAAAAACATAATGAAATTTCCTGCATTGCTTAGCTCTGTCCAATGCTTAATAAATATATCTTAATAAAGTAAACCTCATCATTACAGTCTCATTTATTTCTAAAACCTTAATTGGGCACCTTTCTCTCTGGAAAACATTGTTATACTACCAGCAATGCTGGTTTTTAAAATTTTATTTATTTAGTTTTTATTTTTTTAATTTTAACATTTATCATTTTTTTTTAATTTTTTAGACAATATTTGCTTCCCCCCACCCCTTCAGATTGAGTCCCCATAGAATTCCCTTCCCCAGGGCACCCATGCACCATCACCATAGCACCCTGTGCTCCTCCCTCCCTCCCTCTGACCCTTCTCTCCTCCTCCCCTGCAGTGTGTCTGCAGTTTGTGTGCAATGCTGGTTTTAATGGCAACAGCCTATTAGGACAGTGGTGGGATCTTCTAAAATGTAGAGGACAAAGAAAAAGATGGTGTGAGTAGTTGTAAGTGGACAGTCCAAAAGTCTGTCAAAGTGCTACTTTAGTGAGTCATGGCTGGTTTTAGCTTTGCAAAATGTCAAGTGATAAGTGGGAGTTAATTTTACATTAAATTGCATAGTGAGCCAGAAGAGGCTGAAAGTGTAGACAGCAGGGACCAGTCTCTTTTGTAGTGTAGCTCAGAGTTGAAACCCAAATATCTAGAATGGAAAACTGTTGTTAGCTGTTACTTTTGTTGCACAGTAAACCAGAGTGAAATTTTCACATACAACAGAAATGTGAGCTGTCCTGGTACAATTAAACATGGTATATAAACTTGATGATTTTTATACATCTCTGAATGAGTGTCAGGGAAATATGATACTCCCTTGAGAATAGCCCAGTATTCACTGGGCTGGCACTCTATCTTGGGCTACGAAAGCCAGTGCCCATTCATTCAAAGGAAAGTTTAATTAGGCGATCTTGAGTGTAATTGGGCAAACAAAAGGAAGGGCTAACTTTTTTTTTGTGGGAGTTAAACCAATAAAATTTAGGGGGGTGGGTTGGTTTGATAAAAGATGTCAAATGTTCTTGGAGAGGAACCTCCCCATGATGAAAAAAAAAATAAGTGACTGGATCAAGAAGATGTGGTATATATACACAATGGAATATTATTCAGCAATCAAAAAAGATAAACTCATGCCATTCACAGCAACGTGGATGGAGCCAGAAGAAATTATGCTTAGTGAAATAAGCCAGAAGGAAAAAAAAATATATCGGATGGTTTCACTTATAGCAGGAATATAGGGGAACCCAATAAGACATCAGTGTAAAAAATAACAGTACAAAACACAACAAAGTAAAAATGGACAATCATAAATCAGACATCCTGCAGGGAAGGATGAGGGAGAGGGATCAGAGGGAGGGAGGGAGGAGCACAGGGGACTGAGGTGATGGTGCACAGGTGCACTGGGGAAGGCAACTCTATGGGGACTACACCTGAGGTGGACTATACCTGAGGGGAAACAAATATTGTTTAAAAATGAACAATGATGTAAAAAATATAAAAATAATATAAAAATAAAAGTAAATTAAAAAAGAAGGAAAAAGAAAAATATTGGATGGTTTCACTTATAGGAGGAATAGAGGGGAACCAGATGAGACATCAGGGAAAAATAATAACAGTACAGAGCACAACAAAGCAAAAATGTACAATTATAAATCAGAGACATCCTCAGTGGAGGAGGAGGGAGGGGGATCAGAGGAAGGAGCACAGGGGACTGTGGCACATGGGTGCATGGGTGAAGGAAATTCTGTGGGGACTGTACGGGGGGAGGGGGGAGAAGCAAACATTGTTTAAAAGTGAACACCGATGTAAAAAATACAGAAATAAAAAGAAAATTTTTAAAAACGGAAAAATGCACCATTACTTATGTATTGAAACCTACAGAGAGATTAGACTTAAAAAAGTGAATAAAGCAGAAAACAAATTTTTAAAATCAAAAAATGTGTGGAAAATAAACATGATAGAAGGTTTTATGTGGGATTTTGGGAAATGGTGAAGATTTAATGAGGTTGGTTTTTACAGCTTTCTGGGGCCTGAATTCCTGTCACTAGTGGTAAGAATGTCTTCTACCCTCCTGGTATGGGGGGTACCCTTCATGTGGGAGATTCATTTATTTATTTATTTATTTATTTATTAAGATTTATTTATTTATTTATACAAGCACTGGGCACAGTCAGAAGCGTGGGAGTGTGAGAGAATTCACCAGAGCCAGAGCGGGGATCAGAGCAGGCAGACCAACAAAACACAGTGCTGAGGGGAGCAGCGGGCGCTGCAGGAGAGGTGTGCCGCGCCGTGCAGGACCCTTGCTGGTGGCCTGGGGATCGAGCTGGCGCTGCAGAGGCTGCGGGCAGCCTCGCAGCCCAGCGCTCAACCGCTGCACCACCAGGGGAGGCCCTATATGGGAGATTTATCACCTGCTTTCTGGAGAACATTGAAGGGTCCAAGTGTCCTTCTTGTTCCTACTGTTTCTCAGCACCTTTGACCAGAATAATATACCAAGTGTCATGTTTTAGAGTGGCATATATAAAACCCCTTCCAAAGGTAGTAGAAAGGGAGGCATGGAGTTGGCCATTGCCTCAAATTAAGGGACCTTTGAATTATGCAGATATCCCCACACCCAAATTAACATAAAATCTGGGGGGGGATTTTACACTTTTACTAGCTTAGAAACATTTTTGTCCGGTTTCATATACCGTGTCCTATAGTACTTTATGTTCTGAGAAAAACCTTGATTTAGGAAATGCTCACACACCGACATCCACACACACAAAACCATAGGTTATGGAACTTGGAATCAATGACTATAGCAACAAATTTCATTCAGTAAATCTATAACTATGCTAGACAGTGTGCCATGTGCTTTATACTTTGTACACATCCAACATCCTAGAAGAGGGAATTATCAAACTGAGTTCACATATGCAGATCCTCCATCTCAAAGAAGTTGTGGTTGTCCCTCATATTGTTACTGAACGTGGTTCATGCATCCGGTACACATGACCATATACTGATCACCAAGTGTTTGAAATGCAAAAAAAAATTTTTTATAGAGATAGTGTCACTAAGGTGATAGGAATCCAAGCTCAAAGCTACCACCTTGAGAAAAGGAAGGGGATCTTTGGGTTTTTATAAGGCAGGGTACATGCTAGTGTCTGGGAAAGGAATGTTAGTTATTTCAGGAAAGCATGCAAATCAGCCAGGAGTTTCAGGCACTAGTCATTGTGACACTGAGGATGGCTGTTGAACTCAAAACTGCAGGGTCTGTTACTCCGGTAGATTTCTGTAAAACAAGTTCCTTCATGATTGTTTTGGGATCTGGAAACAGAAGTTAAGGATCCTAACAGATAGCTAGCAGGAGTAAATATATTTGCCTAGTACTTTAATTCTTGTCCTGTTATGTCAATAGCACATGTTGTAATATGTAACACACAAACAAGATCTGCACTCTATATTCTTCTAGCATTTGCCCCATTTCACTTTTCCAGCAAGACTCAGACCTTCTTTCTCTTAATTTATTTCTTGTCCATCCCTCCTTAATGCCTGATAGAATATTTTGAAGTTAGTTTCCCCAAAAGGGTCAGATAACTTTTCCCAGACCAGAATAATAGGCCAGAATAGGCCTCTAGTCACCTTGGTATGGAAATTAGAAGCCAAGCAAGACCCTGTGAACTTCAGAAGATCTGTTTAAAAAAAAAAAAATAATAATCTGTTTCCATTACATTAAGAATGCAGACAACCCTGAAAAGTTAGCTAAAGTTTCTGTTCTTGCCTAAATCCTTTGCCCTTCCATAATCTAAGAAAAGATAATCAATCCTAAAACTTCTGCCCTTTTCCTAGTTGAAGAAGCACTTGCTACTACTCCCCCCATTATGACCTGGAACAATGTAGCTTGGGGGTTTCTTCCAGTACTACATTTATCAATAAATAGTTTTCTCCAAGAAACTCATCTTTATGCTCAGAGCAATAATGAAGTCACTTCCTCATCTGTCATATGAAATCTTACCCTTTATGTCCGTGATGCCCCAGTTCCCGAAATGCTCGAAAAAAATTTCTGGTCTCCTCCATTCTTGCTTAGAATTTACAACCATTCAAAATATCCACACCTACATAATTAAATTGATGGCTTTTCCTTTGCTAACCCATTTGATGTTGGCTTGCATACCCATCCAACCAAGAATCCTGAGGGCTACAGAATGATTTCTTTTGGGCCCTGGTCATATGAAAGAAAAATAATGTAGCCAGGAACCCGGAACTTGACGTTGAAATAAGAAACAAGTTTCTTGAAATAAGTTTAAATTGAAATAAGTTTAGATTGAAATAAGATTCTTGAAATAAAAAACACAATTTTGGGATTTTCTGTGAGTTCCATGTACTTAAGGTCTTCTATCCATAGACCCTGGGTTTCAGGAGAGCTGACTCCTGCCTGTGGGCTGACATGTCCAGCTCCACCTCTGTGTGTGACAGAGGCCTTCCACTGGGTCATCCCTCTTGTCCAGACTGGAACCTGACTTGTAGACCATCATTTCACGGCTCCTCAGAAAGCTCATCTTCCTCCCAGTGGAACTTAAAGGGCAAGAATCACCTGCTCTCTCCCTGACTTACTGCATTCCACCTCCCTAGTTGTCACATGCCTCACTGTGTACCCCTGAGAGCAACTTCCTGTTCCACATAAAAGGCAATCTTGATCCTGAAATCTAGCCCTGGCTGCCTACCACACTCTCAAGACCTTTTCAAAAAAATGTGGTAAGATTAGTCTGATTTGTCATAGGAACTACTAATTTGGAATCTATAGCCCTCAACTTGGAAAGGGAGTTTTGAAACCACTCTGCTATCTGCAGTACAATTTTAATGAGTCTTTTTTTGGAGGGGGTGAGGGGTGAGGTTGGCCACTGACTATATTGAGGTGTGGGCTTACCTGTGTGGTTAATAACCAAAGCCTTCCTCAAAAGTGACATTTGAGAAAAGATCAAAGACTATGGAAATCACTGCATAACAAACCTTACTGGGGATTAATTTCCTAAAATCCCTACAGTCCTTCCAGGAGGAAAAAAATG